TCTGCTGTCGCTTCCTCACTGCAGGCTCACTCAGGGCCCGGCCAGGCCCCCAACAGTGGGAGTCTGGGGTAGTGATGGCTGCAGAGGGAGGCAGGGAGCAGGGAAAGGGGGTGAGGAAGAAGCTCTGGGCCAGTTCTCATTTTGTTTGCACGCGGTCCTATCCCTCCGTTTCATAACAGACGGTGTCGCAGGGAGAGGCATTCACCAGCGTTAGCTAAGGGAGCCTGGGCCCGGGAGCCTCCCGGGGGGGCCTCTGCCGCTGCTCTCCACCCCGCCAGCAGCTAGCTCATCCTGTGTGTTTATCAGCAGCGCAGTCTGAGAATTGTAAAGAGCGAAAAGGCAGTTCAGTCCAACTCCCGCCCCATCTAGACATCCTGACTCCAGCAGACACACATTCTGCCTCAGGCTAACTGGTTCCAGAGGAGGGAGAACATTACTTCAAAAGGCAGCTTATTCCAACGTTTGAAAGTTTCTCTTGGAATCTGAATTCTGTCTTCTTGAAATTTCCACCCTGAAATCTTGGTTCCGCCCTCTGAGCCCTCGAAGGGAATAAATACACTGGTGGGTACAGCTGCTCGGGCCCCGGGCCACAACCACTGCCGGTCTCCTGAGCCAGCTTCCACTGCTGAGCCCCCTTTTCAACTGTCCCTCAGAATGAAACCTGGCACTCCATGGAGCCCAGGGTACAGAGCACACTAGGACTCTTCCTTCTCTTCTCCTGTGATTGAACTTCGGGAAATGCAGTGCAAGATTGCAGTAGCTTTTTTGGCAACCGCATTAAGATTCTGCTGGCGCCCGCTTAGCTTTGAGTTAAAACCACTGCAGCCTTTTCGAATGAGACTTACTATTAGCTCTGTCTTCCTGTCCTGTATACATGTTACTTTTTAAAAATCTTAAGTGCAGAATTTACTCAACTTTAAAGTTTAAACCACCATTTACTGATTACCCACTATATGATGAATGCTATTCATATCAATTGTTGATGCCTCCTGGAATTCTGTTTTAGAGATGGTGCAGGGGGACTAAGAGAGGAATGCCCCAGCCTCCTCACTGATGACTAGCACAGGACAAATTCTCATTTCGGCCTGCAGCTTTCTGCACAGGCCATTTTTTTAAGAGCTCTTTGAACCCTAACACCGTGTTTATAATCCTTCTCAGTCTTGTGACATCTGCAAATTGAACATGCCTACTAAGTCGTTGCACAGTTTCCCAAAGTTGGAAGGTGGTTAGATTACTCTAAAGCAGCAATTTCCAGTCTCTAGGGCACAAAAGCAATTAATGGACCACAATCAGCATCTATATATAAAAGCCTAATATGCAAATTGTCCCTGCAGGAGTTGGACTGGGAGACCAATTGGTCACTATGACATATGCTGACCACTAGGGGGTGGCACAGAACGAAGGGAGTCCCCAGCCGGCAGCCAGAAGGCTCTGATCGGCCCAAATAGCCAGCCAGGCCTAGGGACCCTACCTGTGCACAGATTTCATGTACCGGGCCTCTAGTTTAAAAATAAAAGCCCAAGCATGGCTCAGTGGTTGAGCATGGACCTATGAACCAGAAGGCCATGGGTTCGATTCCTGGTCAGGGAACATGCCTGGGTTGTGGGCTTGATCCACAATAGGGGATGTGCAGGAGACAGACGATCAATGATTCTCCTTCTCTCTCTCTAAAATCAATAAAAATATTGATGTTTCTCTTTTTTCTTTCCTCTCTCTAAAAATCAATTTTTTATTTTAAAATTTTTATTGATTTTAGAAGAGAAGGGAGAGAGATAGAAACATCAATGATAGGAATCATTAATTGGCTGCCTCCTGCACATCCCCCCATGGGATCAAGCCCACAACCTGGGCACGTGCCCTTGACTGGAATCAAACCCCGAGACCCCTCAGTCTACAGGCCAATGCTCTATCCACTGAGCACACCAGCTAAGGCTCTGAAAATCAATTTAAAAAATATATATATTGATTTTTTTACAGAGAGGAAGGGAAAGGGATAGAGAAAGAGAAACATCAATGAGAGAGAGAGAAACATCGACCAGCTGCCTCCTGCACACTCCCCACTGGGTATGTGCCTGCAACCAAGATACATGCCCTTGACCAGAATTGAACCTGGGACCTTTGAGTCTGCAGGCCGACGCTCTGTCCACTGAGCCAAACCGGTCAGGGCTAAAAATCAATTTTTAAAAAATAGTTTTAAAATAAAGAAAAATATGAAATAGAGGAGAAAAATAGCAAAAGTCCATCACATGTAGTCAGGGCATCTTTTGTTTCTGGAAACTTTATAATATATATTTTTTATTGATTTCAGAGAGGAAGGGAGTGGGAAGGAGAGACAGAAACATCAACGATGAGAGAGAATGAGCCAACCCGGCTAGGGCATTGGAAACTCTTATAGCATGAGCACAGAACAAGGAAGTGTGTGGGTGTATGAGCGCACTGGATCTTGATGTAAATTGTTTTTATAGCTGTGGTTCATGGTCTGAATAATTTGAACGCTGCTGTAGAGAAAAGATGTTTTTGAGTCAACTTAGATTGCTTTCATTATAATGCTACAACTTAATTATGTACTCACACAAATCTGTGTATCAACTCACTGATCTGGCCCCTATAAAATTAATTAAATAACTACCCAAAAGCCAGTAAAATTCAAACTGACAGCGTCATTCTGGGAGGACATCAGTGTGACCTGAGTCGCTGTTGTCAGCATAAGCACAGTGCAGACTTGACACCGGCGCCTCCGTGACTCCTGCACGCCCACCCTACGGGGTCTCGTGAGGAGACAACCCACCCAGCTTCTGAAGCGCTGTCTTCCCTCACGCTGCACAAATGCAGCAAATGAGTTAAATGCAGAATTAAGTTGTCTTAATTAGCCCACACAGAGTAGCACCACTTGGCACTAATATGGTTGTAATAGGCCCTGAAATATACAAATCTGGGGTGAGCAACCATCACCAGTGATCTATAGTGTTTGTTCCTTTTAAAAAGATGCTCTCCACCGTGAAAACAAGAATAAAACCTTCTGGTAGAGAAAGCTCGAGCCTCCGAGGAGAAGCCCGCGCGGACCCTGGTCCTGGGGCCCCATCCCTCGTCTGAGGCACCCTGGTTGACCTTGCAGCAGCAGCCAGACAGCACGGATCTACTTAGCCTCCTGCAGTGCCTTCCCTTCTTATAAGAATCTTATAAAAACCTCACCCAGGGGCCTCGCTGGAAGACAATGTGCAGCGCATACCATTCTGATGTGTCCAGCCCAAACCCCACAAAACAGATTTGTTCAGGGTGACGTTTTTTGCAGGCGTGTGCTTGCATAGATGATTGCTGTCCTGCTCCCTTACCTCAGTAATTGCAGTGCTGGTCAATCATTTATTCTGGGTATTGCCCAGAGCTGCTCCTCACTTGTTTTACTCAGTGCTGCAAAGCCTCTCCTGCTCTGGTGCTGAGCCCACAACCATTTAACTATTCCATCAGCTGTCCTGGATCCTGTCTCCCATTCACCATTTCTTTACCTTTTCCCATTTAAGAACCTTCCTCCCAGCACTAGCTTGTTTGACTCAGTGGATAGAGCTTCGGCCTGCAGACTGAAGGGTCCCGGGTTTGATTCTGGTCAAGGGCCCCTACCAGGTTGTGGGCTCAATCCCCAGTAGGGGGCGTGCAAGCAGCAGCTGATCAATGATGCCCTCTCATCATTAATGTTTCTATCTTTCTCTCTTTTTCCCTTTCTCTCTGAAATCAATAAAAATATATTAAAAACAAAAAAGCAAAAAACTCCTTCTCCCATAGAGAGAAGCCAGAGGCCAGCTAAAGTTGAATTGTTCCACTTTCTCCCCAACTTATCCTGTCCTCAGTGCCCAGCAGGGCTCAGTGCCTCAGCCATTTTGCCTTTTTGAGCCTCTGACGTAGTGAATACCCTTCTTGTTTCTGTACTTCCCGAAATCTACTTTCTAAGTTAGGCTCTCTGCCCAGTGTCCTTTTTCTTCAGTGATGTATGAACTGTAAGATAGCTTAATTCTTTCCCCCAAGTTCTCATGGTTTTTATGTTACCTATCTTAGATTTATCTTAGATTAAACTTAATTCAGGGTAGAGTCTTTTAATTACTTCCTCAACATTCTTTAATCTTCCTTTATTTTAAAAACAGCACATAGAATACATTTATTGTGAGAAAACGACAAAATACAGAGAGAAACAAGGAGAAAAATTCTCTTCAGCAAAATCCAACCTCCAAGAGATAATTTTTTTTTAACATTTTAGCAATTTAAGACTTTTTCTTGCTATATTCATATATTGAAATACATATACATTTAAACAAAAATAGAATTTACTCTATCTTTATTCTCATTATATTCAGTGATTAGCGTCCTCGTCTTGGTGATATCTATTGGGCCAACCAGGTGATACCTAGTATGGGGCCGTACCTATTGCCTTACATTGAAGTGATTCCCATAAAGCAATTCCCATAAAGCAATTCTCTATGTGCTATGGACCAATACCTGGGCCGTTGGGCCTTGGTGGTGAAGGCTGAGCACAGAGCACCCAGGACTTGGGCGTGGAGTAGATGTGTCCTCCTTCCAAGCTGGCATGGCATCTGGCCACAGCAGCAGTGAGCAGGAAACGTGGGTCAGGGCTGGAGGATCAGCTGGGGGAGGGGGCTCCCCTCCTCCCCCATGCAGGGGTTCTGACCTAGGGAGACTCAGCAGTGCCCCACAGAGAGGGCTCCATAGGTTCACGCTTGGTATAATCTCCGCATCTTCGAGTTATCTCGGGCTTTATGTTGGCTGGAGGGGATAGTCCGGGGAAGGCAGGACCGGCTGTCCTCGCAGCCGCGGATGGCTGAGTCTGAGCAGAGCAGGGCACCTGCTGGAAAGATGCAGGGCTGCTCAGCTTGAGCGGGTCAGTGTGGGCAAAGCTCTTAGAGAAGCGGCAGCAAAGAGACAAAACGGAAATACAAGACGGTGGGTTTGGGCTCCTTGGGCATTTTGTGCATGACTCTCTTTCCCCCCAGCAGATCCACAGACCAGCATGGCTGCCACTGCTGCTGTCAGTCCCAGCGATTACCTGCAGCCCGCTGCCTCCAGCACCCAGGTGAGTGGGCTGGGGGAGGGGGGTGACAGCCTGGAAGGACTCCTAAAGCTGCCACTCAGCCAGACTGAACACTCACTGTGAACTCCCCGGGAGGTGAGACCAGGGAACGTTCAGTCACCTCCTGTTTCCGAACTAAGAAACCTGGCCGCTCACCTAAGGCGCCACAGAGGGGTGAGGGGAAAAGCAGGATTAAACTCAACGTCTCTTCCACTGACTCCACTGACCATATAAGGAAACCAGCGACTGTGTCCCCACACCCCACACCCCACAGGCTGCCTTGTAGCCTCAAAGGAGCAGCCCCCTGGTCAGTGAAGTCTCGTCCCTAGAAAACACTTTGCCAGAGGGTGTGTTCCTCTTGTTGCTCCTCCCTTTTCCTTTCCCTTCTCCCTTTCTCAGCTGAGGAATCAGGGGTCCCTTAACCCCTGTGCTGGGCCAGTGGACTCCATGTAAGAGCTCAGGACTCCATGTACTGAAGCCAGTGGGGAGTGAGTGGCCAGCTCATGCTGTTAGCTCACCCTGTCCTGGGTGCTTCTGGGCACTCCTTCCTGAGAAAGACTCCCCCCTCCCTCCTCCTTTTCACTCAGCACAGGCTGGTGCACATTCGTGCACTGGGGGAGGGAGGGGTCCCACAGCCCAGCCTGCACCCTCTGGCAGTCTGGGACCCCTCAGGGGATATCCCATAAGCTGGCAGTCAGATAGCCACCATCACTACCACTGCACTCGCCATCCGTGAGCCAGCTTCTAGCTGAGCAGTGCTCCCCCTGTGGGGCAGCTCCTGCATTGTCTGGTGGTCAGTGCGTCATAGCGACTGGTCATTCTGCCGTTCGGCCGATTTGCATATTAGGGTTTTATTATATAGGATGGAGAAACCAGCAGGAACAACAGGACCACTGCAGGGGGGAGGAAGCTGCCAAGAGGAGAGGATCAAACAGGCAGAGGGTGGCTGGGCTGCCGGCCCTCACGGCTCACTCCTTTTCTCTTCTGGGTTTTTTGCAGGATTCCCAGCCGTCTCCCTTGGCTCTGCTTGCTGCAACATGCAGCAAAATTGGGCCTCCCGCTGTTGAGGCCGCTGTGACGCCTCCTGCTCCCCCACAGCCCACACCCCGGAAACTGGTCCCTATCAAACCTGCCCCTCTCCCCCTCAGCCCTGGCAAGAATAGCTTTGGAATCTTGTCCTCCAAAGGAAACATACTTCAGATTCAAGGGTCACAACTGAGCACATCCTATCCTGGGGGTCAGCTGGTGTTCGCCATCCAGAATCCCGCTGTGATTAACAAAGGGACCCGATCCAATGCCAACATCCAGTACCAGGCAGTCTCTCAGATTCAGGCGAGCAGTGGCCAGACCATCCAAGTACAGCCCAATCTCACCAACCAAATCCAGATCATCCCTGGCACCAACCAAGCCATCATCACCCCCTCACCATCCGGGCACAAGCCCGTCCCCATCAAGCCAGCCCCTGTCCAGAAGTCAAGTACAACCCCCGCCCCCGTGCAGAGCGGGGCCAGTGTGGTGAAGCTGACAGGCGGGGGCGGCAACGTGACACTTACTCTGCCTGTCAACAACCTTGTGAACACCAGCGACACCGCGGCCTCCACGCAGCTCCTGGCGGAGAGTCCTCCCATCCCGCTGTCCAAGGCCAACAAGAAAGCCAGGAAGAAGAGTCTTCCCGCCTCCCAGCCCTCGGTGGCTGTGGCTGAGCAGGTGGAGACGGTGCTGATCGAGACCACAGCGGACAACATCATCCAGGCAGGGAACAACCTGCTCATTGTGCAGAGCCCAGGCGGGGGCCAGCCCGCTGTGGTCCAGCAGGTGCAGGTGGTGCCCCCCAAGGCCGAGCAGCAGCAGGTGGTGCAGATCCCCCAGCAGGCCCTGAGAGTGGTGCAGGCAGCTTCTGCCACCCTCCCCACTGTCCCCCAGAAGCCCTCCCAGAACTTTCAGATCCAGGCGGCCGAGCCCACGCCTACTCAGGTACCGCGCACACCCTCTGCACCTGCCTTCCTCTCCTCTTAGCACTAACTGGCTAGCGCTCCACTCAGCTTGCCTTTGAAGACGATGCTGACGCATTTCCCGATTTGATCTGAATGTTCAGAGTCAGTATCGTTTGGGGTGGGCAGTACGTGTGGGAACCAGACCCTCCTGGAACACTGACTCTTTCTCTCCGGTCCCTCCCAGGTCTACTTCCGTACGCCTTCCGGCGAGGTGCAGACGGTCCTCCTCCAGGACAGCTCCCCGGCGACGGCTGCACCCACCTCCACCACCTGCAGCAGTCCCGCACCCCGGGCTCCCCACCCGAGCGGGACCAGCAAAAAGCACTCGGCCGCAATTCTCCGGAAAGAGCGGCCCCTGCCAAAGATCGCCCCCGCCGGGAGCATCATCAGCCTGAACGCAGCCCAGCTGGCGGCGGCGGCCCAGGCCATGCAGACCATCAACATCAATGGTGTCCAAGTCCAGGGTGTGCCTGTCACCATCACCAACACCGGCGGTGAGGGGAGACCCCTGGGCTGGGGCGTGGGTAGTGGGCCTGCACATCCCTCCCATCGGAACCGTGGGCCACCCCGTGCTTCCCAGGAGCAGCAGTGAGGACGATACCTGACACCTGCCTCATCCTTTCCAGCTTAAAAGCTTGTCCACTCAGTCCTCACAGTGGCCTGTGAGATAGTGTAAGATGCTTGTTGGCCTCAGCTTACAGCTGGAGACCTTGACTGTGGTGGAGAGAATAAGATAGACTAGAAGCTCCAGCTGACACCAGTGCAAACTGGTTTGGTACAGAACAAAGACAGACACCTCTTCAAGGGAGGCCCCGGGTAAAGAGAACTGAAGGAAGACTTCCAGAATGAGAAAGCCTTGAGTAAACGTGGAAGGAAAGGAGGGAGCGTTTGGCAGTGGGAATGGCTTGTGCTTCTCTCCAGCTGAGTGGGATATCTGGTAATATTTACAGTAGGAAAGCAGCCTTGCAAATCAGCAAAAGACTATTGCAGCTACCTAGCAAAAACGGTTCCTGCCTTGCCTTTAGCCAGGTGAAGGCCTTTACAGGGTAGTGGCACTTTAACACCAGCAATAGGTCAGCAACACTCCCCTGCTTTGAAATGCTTTATGCAAGTCCTAGAGGGCTTGTTTTTTCCAATGCCTTCAGAACTGTCTTTATGTGTGTTTTTTTAAATATGTTTTTATTGATTTTAGAGAGAGGGAGAGGGAGAGAGGGGTAGAAACTTCATTGATGAGAGACAATAATCGATTGGCTGCCTCCTACATGCCCCCTACTGGGGATCAAGCCTGCAACCCAGGCATGTGTCCTGACCAGGAATCACACATAACCTCCTGGTTCATGGGTCAGTGCTCAACCACTGAGCCACACCAGCCTGGCTCTTACTCTTATTGACAGAAATCCCTGGAGAATTTCCTGAAAGCAGGTATCTCACAAGGGCCTAAGGCTGGGGGAAATTCTGGAAGGAACACCCCTCAGGACAAGACTCTTCCCAGTTGAAATATGTGAAAGCACGTTTGGCTGGTGTGGTGTGGTGTGGTGTAGTGGTTCAGCGCATTGATGCTCAAGTCGACTGCCTGGGTTCAGTCCGAGTCCTACCTCTTATTAGCTGTGTGATCTTGATATGTTGTTGAGCCTCAGTTTCTTCAGCTGTGAAAGGAGGATAATAGTATCTGTTTCACCGGATTGTGAAGGTTGAAGGCGTATCAGGCATACAGGCCCTCAGAAGCACTAGCTGTTTGGTTATCCTTATCATGTGCAGAAGGGAAGGGGGGTGTCAGGCTCCCTGCTCTGTCCCTCAGGCTTCCGCACCCCAACCATGCCCTGCCACCCACAGGCCAGCAGCAGCTGACGGTGCAGAATGTGTCCGGGAACAACCTGACCATCAGTGGGCTGAGCCCCACGCAGATCCAGCTGCAGATGGAGCAGGCCCTGTCCGGGGAGGCCCAGCCCGGGGAGAAGCGGCGCCGCATGGCCTGCACGTGTCCCAACTGCAAGGATGGGGACAAGAGGTAATGGGGCCGGCCCGGCAGCCCGGCAGGTGCCTGTCCCCACGCGCCTTCCCGGGACACAGACGGAGGGGGCGAGGCAGCGACCCCACACCACCTCGCCGCCGCACCTCCGCTGTGTTCCCTGGCTGGCCCCCTCATCCCCTCTCCATCCCATCCTGCCCCCAGCTTCTGTCTCCCCCCTCACTGCTTTCCCTCTCCCTCCCTCCCGTCCCCACGCCCAGGTCCGGAGAGCAGGGCAAGAAGAAGCACGTGTGCCACATCCCCGACTGCGGCAAGACCTTCCGGAAGACGTCCTTGCTGCGGGCCCACGTGCGCCTCCACACCGGCGAGCGGCCCTTCGTCTGCAACTGGTTCTTCTGCGGAAAGAGGTTCACGCGGAGTGACGAGCTCCAGCGGCACGCTCGCACCCACACAGGTTTGTTCCCGTCCCCGTGCACACCGACGGCCTCTCCCCGCTTCCCTGGCAGGTCCCCCCACCTCCCCCCACCCCCACTCCATGGCCCTCAGTGGCATCGGGATTCCTGGCCCTGCCCAGGACTCCACCCTGAGCAGGAGCTACAGACTGTCTGCTCGGGGCTCCACGCTGCCCAGCTGCTTTCAGCCACCCCTTTACCGCGGTGTTTCCCAAGCACCGTGCCGCTCGGTGCCGCCTTCCACAGCAGCAGTTATTTATGGCACCAGCACTGACGTCGCATGCCAGGCCCTGCACTGCGCCTTCACAGCCGCCTACTTAACCCTCAGAACAGCTCTGCGGGAGGGGCTTCGGTCAGGCCCGTTCTACTGAGGCTGGAGAGGTGGCTGCGTCTCAGTGACTAGCAGAGCTGGGTTCAGACGCAGGCCCCCTGACTCCCAAATCCACACTCTTCCCCTCCCCCATTTGAAATATAATCATATCGGTGAAACTATACATTTCTACATTAAAGACAAGTTATAGAATAATTCCGAGTAATATTGATAGGAGCTACAACTTTAGCCCATCTATTATTTTTTTTTAAATATACTTTTATTGATTTCAGACAGAAAGGGAGAAGGATAGACACATCAATGATGAGGATCATTGATTGGCTGCCTCTTGCATGCCCCCCACTGGGGATCGAGCCCACAGCTGAATTGAATCAGGGACCCGTGAATCCACGGGACGACGCTCTATCCACTGAGCCAATGCAGCCAGGGCTAGTCCCTCTATTTCTCTCTCTCTTTTAAAATTTTTTTTATTGATTTGAGAAAGAGCAGAAGGGAGAGAGATAGAAACATGAGAAACGTCATCAATTGGCTGTTACCTGCATGTCCCCTACTGGGGATCAAGCCCACAACCTGGGCATGTGCCCCAACCAGGAATTGAGCCAGTGCCCTCTTGGTTCCTGGGTTGACACTCAACCACTGAGCCACACCAGCTGGGCTGGCCCATCTATTTCAATTACAGCTAGTATGGTTTCAAATTTTTAAGGACGCAGCAGCACTCCATTGAGCTGTTACTACCAAGTCCACACACTTAATTGCTACCCCATATTGCCTTTCCTGTTATTTCCTTAATGATTGTCCTGAAATAGTTTCACTATTTTCATTCATTTATGGGTCCAATCACTATTATTATTTTGTTGTTATTGTTAATCCTCACCTGAGGAAATTTTTATCCAGTAATTTTTAGAAAGTGGAAGGGAGAGAGAGACAGAGAGAAAAATTGATGTGAGAGACACATCGGTAGGTTGCCTCGTGCATAAACCCCAACCAGGGCCAGGGAACCTGCAACAAATACACATGCCCTTGACCAGAAATGAACCCGGGAGGGACCCTTCAGTCTGTGAGCCGACGCTCTATCCACTGAGCCAAACCGGCTAGGGCACAATCGCTATTTTTTTTGACATCACACGCTTGAGGTCACGTGTGCCTCTCCTCGGGGGGCCGGGACAGTGTCTGTGAGTGACGGCCATCTCCTCCTCCCAGGGGACAAACGCTTCGAGTGTGCCCAGTGCCAGAAACGCTTCATGAGGAGTGACCACCTCACCAAACATTACAAGACCCACCTGGTCACGAAGAACTTGTAAGGCCCACGGAGGCGGGAAGCCCGAAGACGCGGTCCCCCCGGTGGGAAGGAGGCCCGGCCGCCCTGGGCCTGCCCTCGGCCCCTCCCTCCTCACAGGAAGGGGCTCTGCTGCCCCACACTCGCCTCTCCTGAAGCCCGAGCTCTGCCCAACGAGACGTTCTAAGCCAGGACGAGTGGGAACCTTTATTTCCAAAGGAAAAACATGAATTTCACTCCATCGAGGAGCAAAGTGAGTCCCCTCCCTCCCAACACTGCGAGAGTCGCATCATCGTGCCATGCACCTCCCTGCCCCGGCCGCCTCAGCCGCCCCGGGCCCTGCACCCAGGCCCCGCGGGCATCCACCTCCACTCCACACGCCCCGCCCACCATCTTCTCCAGCACATTCCAACTTTCTATTTAAACCCAAAACCACCGCGGACTCCCCGGCCCCCCTTTTTCTATGGAGAACGTTGCCTTATACTCTCTTTCAGATAATGAACACTGTGTATCGTGTGTGCTTTACAGTTTTATTTAATTGCTCCCTTCCTCCCGTTCTTGTTACTCACCTCCCCCAGGCCTGCTTTCAGTTTAGGGTTTTGGGAGGCAGTGACGAGCGTATGAGTTTTTTTCTCACTAACAGTTCTTTTTCCTAAATGACACAGCATTTCAATTTGAATCTGGATTCAGATAAAAACTTCACCCCCCGAACCTTTCCACTCTCCCTTCATCTCACCTACCCCTCCCAGCCCAAGCTCTAGTTCTGTACAGTGTATATTGTATAATAGACAATTGTGTCTACTACATGTTTAAAAACATATTGCTTGTTATTTTTGAGGCTTTTAAATTAATAAACAAAATACAACTTTATTTTTAGTTGTAACTGCTTGAGGTATGTTTTATGATTGACAGATTTGTTATCCTTTATTAACGATGTGCTTTGTTCAGCACTGGGCTGACAAAAATTTTCCTTGCTAATAAATTTAGTTGCCTGAGGCAAAATATGCAACTCGGCAGTGCAGCTTCCTTTGTCTTTGACCTCAGAGAGCTTGGAGAGGGGCCTGAGGGGCCTGAGGGGAGGGAACCCTGGTCTCTGAGTGGTCCGGTCCTCCTGGGACCGAGGCAGGACCGTCCTCTCCCGGCCTGAAAAGGGTCGCGGCCACAGAGACCTCGTGGCATTGGCACCAGCCCCCGGAGCACCTGGGTGGGACCTCCAGGGGGACAGGACCTCGCATAGGGGTTCCCGCTTTGTTCTCCCACAGCCAGTTTTGCCCAGATCAAAGCAGGCACACTGTTCAGACTCGAGTCACAGCAATGTCTCCCTTACCAGCAAGCTGCTGCTTCCCCTCCACTCTCCCCGCCCAGGCACAGGGCCTGCTCTCACTGGGAAGAGCGCCAAAGGGGCCCGGCTCTGTCATTTCCGTTCCTGGAGAGATTCCCTAAGGATCAGGATCCCTTCCCAGGGGGGCAGCCAGGCCTGGAGCCCGTCTCTAGCCAAGCGAGGACCCTGGCCACAGACCCTGCTTTCTCCGACGCCTCACCCAGCACCAGCTGATTCTGTTCTTACCGAGTGCTGCAGATTCGCATCTTGGCGGGGACTTGAGGGGGAAGCACAGAGGTTAAGGAGGCCAGGGCTGTGATGTCAGGAGACTGAGATTGGAGCACACTGCAGGATCCTGAGAGCAGCTGGCTGAAGGGAGAGCGCTGTTCTCGAGCAGATAAAGAACAGCATGTGCTCTCCTTATGCCGTCGATGCCTTTTTACTCACCTTGAATGGCACACCCAGGGCCGCTGTTCTCTGCAGGAGCGCCCAGGCTCCTCTGGAGCTATCCACTCCCTCACTCTGTCCTGTGTCACCAGCGGCCTGCGTTTATTTGCAAGCAAACAGCTCTTCCTTAACGCCAGCCACCCTCACTCACATCAGCTGGAGAATAACAGGGAGCCGATCTCAGATGGATCTCAGGTTCTCTGTCTCCACCACTTCTTCCTGATCAGGCAGGAAGACCCGGCCTACCCACACTTAGGCCCTTTGAGTGACACCAGACCAGCTCTGACAGAGAAGCCTCTGCATGAGCCCATCAGCCCAGCATCTCATCGCTGCCCTGGCAGGTGGAGGACGGGGGTGTATTTCTCTCTCCCTCTCACGTGGATTGTGGGACTGGGGGGAAAAAAAATGCCCTGCTGAGTTCTGAGCTAGGATTGGTGGAGAGAAGGGGGATATTAACAAATGCCACCTTCTCCCACGTTCCCCATTGCCTTTGCGATCAGGCACAAAGAGTGATCCTTTCCTGAGAGCTGACTGCAAGTCACCTGCTTTAAGAACCGAAACTGACCCGACGCCTGAGCATCCTTTGGAAATGAGGGTGCCAGGCCCAGAGGGCGGAGCGAGTGCCGACACTCAGGATTTCCCTTCTCCTGGAGGCAGGTTCAAAAGTTCTGCCCAGCCATCTCTGCCTCCCATGGGATGGGAGTTAGGAAGGAGGCAAGAGAACGTATGCTGCCTCGCCCAGGAAATGGCAAGAGGGCAGAATGGAGAAACCTGTGGCCGGCCCGCCCTCATCTGCTGCAGCCCATCCTTAATTTACTTGTGAGTTGCAGGGGGGGGGCGGGGGGGACACGACACGACACTGCTGTCCATGCTAAGGATCCCCCCACCCCCACCCCCAGGACACCTGATCGGCAGGCTGAAAATGGAGACTTGGGGGCAGGCTATCCCCAGCAGCTTAGGAGTATGGAGGCCATACCGCCCACAATCCATTCTCAGGGTCATCTGTACCAAAGCCCCCCCCCCCCCCATCTTGTCTGCTCAGTGATGCTCAACACAGCAGCTCTTTGATTCCAGATCCTAGAATTATAAACCGGAAAGAAAAGGGCTGCCCCCATACTGAAGGCAAATCCAGGCAGATTACCCTTAAAAAAAAAATCAAAGCAGCAAATGGAACTCAGGCTTCCTTCCAGCTACTCAGCCCATTTCTCCAATCACCTTTTGGGGGCCCATGGAGGCCCTACCCAAGTATGATGATGGGAGCCACCTGCAGCATCTCAGGTCCCCGGACCCACCAGGGGCTCCTGGCTCATGGATGTGGCTGAGGCTCTTGTAACCTGACCAAGGCCTTTGGGACAAAGCCACAAAGGGAGCCACAGTAATCTCAGGACAGGTGGCAGCCGGGTTTCCCAGGGAAAGGGTTTTCGGGGAGGAGAAGAGCAGGAAGTGAACCAGGGAAGATGGAACCAAGAGCAGGGATGTGGGTAAAAAGAAAGCAAACCACAGTAGGGAACAGCAGGGCATTGGGGCTGGAGAAGAGGGTCATATACCGACAGCCAGGATCTCTCCAGGAAACTTAAGAATCGCCAGGTCACGCCTGGGAACCTGCTCTCAGGCCTCCTTCTGCCTGCGGCCACACGCTAATTACTACACAGCCAGTGACACCGACGGGACTGGTGCCCTGAGACCTCACTCAGCCTGGGAAAGCTCAACATGCCTCCAGCCAACAAGGACACTTAGCCAGGCTCCCACCAGGTGCAAAAAAACAAAAACAAACCCCCCCCCCACACACACACACACAAAACAACAACCCAAGCCCTACCCACAATGCCTAGCACTGGCTACAGAGAGACTTAAAAAAACCAGTTTATGCATACACATGACAGATGAGCGTTTCCTGGCTGGCGTGTTGAGAAGAGCCAGAGAAAGTAAGTGACATAGTCCATCCTGTGAAGGAGCTTCCGATGGGGAACACGAGTGAAAACCATGGGATGTATTGGCAAAGTGACCCATGAGCACAGGAAGAATCATGTCAGGCGTCAGCCACACAGCCACAGGCAGGACACTCAGGTAAGTCTGTCTCCTCCGCGTCTCTCCTCTGCATCCCCTGATAACCACACGTGGGACTTAGGCATCTGCTGGCAGAGCCCCAAGTACCCACCCTTCTGGGTGTCCCCAGTTCACCCCGAGGCTGGGCCCAAGGCTTCCCGAGCTTAGAGGCCCCCAGGATACCCCCCTGGAGAGCTGGGCACTGTATCATTTCCATCCTCCCGGGCCTCTCCCTCCTCCCCTCTGTCCTTCACTCACCCAGACCCTCTGACGGTCTCCCCCTCCGACATGGTTTCAAGAGCCACTTCGGTGGCTCCTGACACCCAGTCTGGTCTCATTAGCCTAGACCTCTCTCCTAAACGCCAGCCTTGATTATATAATCCGACCAAACGTGGGTGTCCCATAAACCCTCACTCCGCAGGGACTTCATCTCTCCCCCAAACCTCCTCCTCCAACATGCCCCGCTTCAATGAACAGCACCGCCCATGTCACCTAAAGTCATCCTGGTGAGCCGATTCCCTCCTCTTCCTCTCCGCCCACCCACACACTCCGGCGCCGGGTCCTGCTTCAGTTTAGACAACACTGCCGTGTCCTGGCCTCCTTCACCCACCATCCGCGTGGTCACCAGGTCCCAAAACACAACCACTAAGCGATAATGGAAATGTATAATCCAATCATTTAGATGAAAAGATGATTTCAGAACACATATGCAAAAGAATGCCCAGCGGCTGTGGCTCAGTGGTGGAGCATCAACCTATGAGTCAGGAGGTCATGGTTCGATTCCTGGTAAGGGCACAAGCCCAGGTTGCGGGCTTGATCCCCAATACGGGGCATGCAGGAAGCAGTCAATCAATGATTCTCTCTCATCATTGATTTTTTAAGAATATCTTTATTTGACTTTTTACATAGAAGAGGGAGAGGGACAGAGAGTTAGAAACATTGATGAGAGAGAAACACCGATCAGCTGCCTTCTACAAGCTCCCTACTGGGGATGGAACTTGCTACTAAGGTCCATGGCCTTGACTGGAATCAAACCCCAGTCTGAAGGCTGACGCTCTACCCTCTGAGCAAAACTGGTTAGGGCTCATCATTGATGTTTCCATCTCTCTCTTCTTCTCTGAAATCAATAAAAATCATTAAAAAAAAAAAAAAAAAAAGCATTGAAAAAAAAACAGGCAAAGCCTAGTCCCCAACCCCACCTGCAGCCTGTTGGTTTCATATGGAGAAGCCAGAGTGCTTCTCCGTACAATGAAATATTGCAATACATTTTCTATTCGAGATTCTGGAGAAAAGATTAGTAAATGTACAAAGTTGGGAGGGGAGAGTGGCAACGTATTTAATAAAAAGCAGTAACAATAATAAATAGATAAAAGTAGTAACAATAAAGAATCCCTTCCTCCCACACAGGCAAACGCTTGCTGAGGGCACAGCAGTGGAGGCTCAGCCAAGGGCGTGTCCCCCACGCCTTTCTGCACCGAGGAGCTGCTCTGTGATCCAGACACCAAAACCCACGAAGCAGAAAAGCACAACGCAAGCCTACTTATTATTTCAAGACACCGGGGGGTGGGGGGTGGGATTTTAAAAGTCAGCCATTGCAAGCTTCCTCACTCATCGCCGAGAACGGGAGACGCTGCTGGAACCCACTTTTTCTCATCTGGTCTTCAAAACACAGGGATTAGACGCCGTGGCTTGAACATTCAGGGAGAAAAAGGAACCGTTGTCTAAACGCCGAACCCGTGCCATCTGCCTGATCTTCAGCTGGCACGCCGCGCCCTGGCCCAAGTGCCCGGCTGTGTTCTCACCACCGGTTCCAGCAGGATCCCACGGCCCCAAGTTCCCCCAGGCACCCGGTCTTTACCCACACCCTTCCCTCTTCCTGGCACGTGTGTTCCACTGTCCATCTGGCAAACACATACTTGTTAAGACAAATGCAATGTTTGCTCCCTTTCCGGAAGATTCCTGGTGGCAGGAAACCCAGGGCCACTTCCTCCTGTGTGCTCTCCGTCTCCTCACAGAAGCACCTGTAACTCCTCAGCTCACAGACCTGCTTCCCCCTACAGACTGCAAGTATCTAGCCCGGCAAAAGTCTTTCATAAATGTCAACTGAATGAATAAATATCTGTTCAGTTGGCCCTTGGTTTTGAACGGCATGGATCCACTCACCAGTACACATGGATTTTTTCCCCCAATGATGTTAATGTATTTTCTCCTCCTTATGATTCTCTCAATAAATTTTTCTTTTCTCTAGCTTCCTTTTTTCTAAGAATACAGCATATAATACATGTGGTAGTCAACTGCTTATGTTATCAGCAAGGCTTCTGGTAGCTAAGTTTTGGGGGAGTCAAAAATTATACATGAATTTTCAGTTGGGGAGGGGTCAATGACCCTAACCCTTTGCCTTGTTCGAGTCAACTGTTCTGTAACGGTTTCATTAAAACCCTTCAAATTGTCCTCGTCTTGGTGCCCTAGAATCCTGGGTCCAGGGTGGCACATCCCAGGAGTGCTAAGAGTGTGGACCCATCAACAAAACCGACTGAGTTGAAGGGCACTAATTACTGCTTACACAGGTTTAAATACAGGTGTGTGGGAGGGGGGGGGGAGGACAGCAGTATTCATACGTGGAAAGACAACTTCAATAAGAAAGGAAGTCCAGCCCTAGCCAGTTTGGCTCAGTGGATAGAGCCTCGGCCTGCAGACTAAAGGGTCCCAAGTTCAATCCCAGCCAAGGGCACGTGCCCAGGTTGTGGGCTCGACCCGCCCCCCCAAGTGGGGAACATGCAGCCAATCAATGGTTTTCTCTCATCATTGATGTTTCTATCTCTTTATAGCTCTATCCCTTCCTCTCTGAAATTAAAAAAAAAAAAATTTTTTTAAAGAAAGGAAGTCCGGTCAACTCTCTCTCAATCATCTTGATGGAGGAAAACAATGCAGCAAAAAAATTCTAACCAGTGGAGAATCTACTGATAAATATTATTAAGCCTTGCAACCTGTGTTATTTCTTTGCAGCAAATTTGTCTTCCAGGTTCTATTTGGCTCAAGCTGTGTGCACATGACAAAGGAGGACAGGTTATGTAAAGTAGGGCTTTATAAAGCTTAGCTGTCATGCAGACACCTGGGCAGGGCAGGAAGTTCCCTTACCTGACAGTCCCGGGGTGCCTGCCTAGATGGTTCTCGCAGCTCCCCTTCCTGATGATGGTGGACACGAGGACTAGAGAGAGGCCTGGACCCACGGCTGCCCCAGCCAGGCCAAAGCTGGAATGGGTAGGCACTGGCAGGCTTCCCATCTCTCAGCCCTGCATCCACATCCTGGAAATGGCTTGGCACAGCCACCTCCTCTCCTGTGCCCTCAGCTATGGCTGGCATTGACTTAGGCACCAAACTCCAACTCTCTAGGAAGGCCATAATGTGAAAAAGGGGAAACTCAGCAGAGATGGAGGCGGCCTGGAGAGGTGGGACAGAGGTAACCTTTCCATCTACCTGGCATTATGGGAGGGGAAGCCATGAGTAAAGAAAACAGCATGCTCTGGCCTGGGGTGAAAGGAATGGGGCTGGAGAGAGGGAGTTCAGGGCTGGAAGAGGAAGATGGCGCTGCTCTGGGACAGCTTGATCCCAAATTTCCCTCTTCCCCTTTCCCATTCAGCTGTCTTCCTTCTCCCCCCTTCTCCCCACCACACACACACACACACACACACACACACACACACACACACACACTACATAGCATCTATTTGGAGGAATCACAAGTCACTTCAGCCTCTCCCACTCTCAAGCCTTGACTTCTCCCCCAAACCAGATGTCCTCTTTCTCTGTCTCCCCATCACCTTGCCTTAGGGTCTGGCCGCCTAATTCCATTTCCATTTGTCGGTCCCCAGGCCACCAGCCTGCCCCGCAGGGACACTTCCTGCACTAGGCCCGCCTTCAGGCACCTACCAGGAGCCAGCCACCGAACACTGACCCTCCCCCTCACGCCCCCAGCGGCGCAGCCTTCGCCCCCGGCCCTGGCCCGGGAGGCTGCAGCCCCGGGATCTCGAACAAACCTCCACGTGCGCGTTAGCAGCGGTGACAGAATTTCCTTGTCTCCCTGCTCCCGCCCCCAGAGGCGCCGCCCATTGGTCGCTGGCTTCCTCTGTTCTCGCTGTCATTGGCTGCGCTCCGGAAGACTCCGACCAATGGACTCCCAGCACCTGGCTCCCTCCCCCGACCCTGGGCTCCCATTGGCTCCGAGGACTGAGGGTGTCTGGGCTCGGCGACTGACACACCCTCTTCCCGCGGGGTAGACTCGGGGCTGAGGAACCGGTTCCCAACGCGCCGGAACCCGGCGCTGCCGGGCGACGCTGGGTCACGTGGGCCAACGGCCCCGTCGCGTGCGTCAACGTGGCGGTCCGGCGGCTGGCCGAGTGGCCCCGCCACCTGCGTCTCCTGTGCCGCCGCGCCGTCGCCATGGACCTGGGGCCGATGCGCAAGAGCTACCGCGGGGACCGCGAGGTGTCGTCGCCGGGCGGGGTCTCCGCAGGGGTCTCCGCAGGGGCGGGGAGCGAGGGGTCGCAGATCATCCGGGACCGGGCGGGGGAGACATGGGAGGAACCCCACGGGGTTTCTGGGGCCACCCCGTGGGACACAGGGGCTTGAGGCCATCTCCCTGAGAGGAGAGGGTTCAAAGACAACTGTTGGGGGTCGGGGAGAGGTTCTGGGGGAGCCGGGACGAAGGTGGGGTCCGGAGGCAGCTGGGGGGTGGGGGGAGAGAAGGCACGGCTGGAGCCTGCCAGGCCCGGAATCCCGCCATTCATTCATTCATTCATTTATTCACTCACGAGGTGCACCCCTGGGGCGGATCCCTGAACCTCTCCGGCCCCCTGTGAGGTGACAGCACCACCTCGCAGGAATGTGGCGGACTCAGATGTTTGTAAAATGCTTAGAGCAGGGACACTCAGCCTCCCGGTGCTGGGTAAGCAGAACGCGGGGAGGCGGACTGACTACCCCCGGGGAGGAGGGGGAACGCTCCTTGCTGCCTTCGTTCCCTCGCTTACCCTGGAGAAAACGTCCTTTCCTTCGTCCTCCTCCGGAGAGGAGCCCAGAGAACGGTTGTTAGACATGCGGTTTTCCCCTGACCCTGAGACCTTCGGAATGAGGATTTATTATACAAGGGCAGAGTCCAGAATCTGTGTGTGTGTGTGTGTGTGTGTGTGTGTGTGTGTGTGTGTGTTTAAGGCTTTTCAAATGATAGGTTTGACACTTCATGACATGAAACCGATTCATCAACCATCAGTCTCCACAGAACCTACTTCCTGGGCACTATTTTTTTTTTAAACATATATTTTTATTGATTTTGTACAGAGAGAAGGGAGAGAGATAGAGTTAGAAACATCGATGAGAGAGAGTCATCGATCAGCTGCCTCTTGCACCCCCCCCCCCCACTGGGGATATGCCCGCAACCAAGGTACATGCCCTTGACTGGAATCGAACCCGGGACCTTTCAGTCCCCAAGCTGACGCTCTATCCACTGAGCCAAACCGGTTTCGGCCTGGGCACTATTTTTTGTCACGAGGATTAAATAAGTTGATATTTGGAAAGTGCCTAGAATAGCTCTACGTACACATTCGGCAATATGTGTGTTCATTCAGTGAAATAAAACCCTCCCTTCTCCCCAGGCGTTTGAGGAGGCGCAGCTGAGCTCTCTGGATCCCCTGAAGCAGTTCGCTGCCTGGTTTGAGGAGGCCGTTCAGTGCCCTGACATAGGGGAGGCCAACGCCATGTGTCTGGCCACCTGCACCAGGTGGGCATAGCCGTGGGCCCTTCGGTGGGCGGGCACAGAGGAAGCAGGATCCCGAGGGAGCTCTCAGTTTCATGGATGACAACTTTATGGTTCTAGCACTTTTATTGAAATGCTGTGTGGCCTCAGCGTCCTTACCTGTAAACCAAAGATCACACTTCACTCAGTTACATCTCAGGGATGGAACGCAGTGCCTCATTCATCCCTGCCCTTGATGCGACGCTCCCATATACCCTTGCCTCCCTTATCTCCCCACCTACCCTATTCCCAGCTGCCCTTTAAGAGCTGTGTCTCCTGGGACCTCTTCATGGATCTCTTTGTAGACAATGCTTAGCTGTATCACTCAGTTGGTAGTCAACCACTGAGCCATCTCTCATATTAGCCTCTCATCCAATCCAACTCTTCCTGTCCCCCCTCACTCAAATGTAAGGCCTTGAAGGCAGGGCTCTTGTGCTGTGCCCCACGTGTCCCCCAAAACCCTGAGCAGAGGGTCTGATAACAGCCACGCCTTCTGTGATCCCTAAGCACCAGCCGGTTGCATTTTTTTTCTTCTTTTTTAATATATTTCTTTATTGATTTCAGAGAGGAAGGGAGAGGGAGAAAGAGATAGAAACATCAATGATTAAAGAGAATCATTGATTGGCTGCCTCCTGCATGCCCACTACTGGGGGTCGAGCCCACAACCCGGGCATGTGCCCTTGACAGGAATCGAAACTGGAACCCTTCAGTCCAAAAGCCCACGTTCTATCCACTGAGCCAAACCAGCTAGGGCTGATTGCATTCTCATTGATTGCTGCCCTTAGAGCCTTGCTACTTTGCTCGGGCTGCCATAAGAAAATACACGGACAAGGGGGCTTAGACAACAGAAATGTATTTCTCAGTGCTGGAAACCGGAAGTCCAAGATTAAGCTGCTGTCAGAGCTGGTTAGGAAAGCCTCTCTTCATGGCTTGCAGGTGGCCGCCTTTTTGCGGTGTCCTCACACGGCCTTTCCTTGGTGCACGCAGGGAGAGCAAGTGAGATCATTGGTGCTTGTTCCTCTTATAAGGACACCGTCCTTTTGGATCAGAGCCCCACCCTATGACCTTACTGACCCTTACTCCCCTCTCGGAAATCCCTGTCTCCACATACTCACATTGGGGGCAAGGCCATCAACATAGGCTTTCAGCTTAGTCCCTCACAGTCCTGGAGATGAAAGAGAATCCACAGACCGCCGTCAGGACAGTGGGGAGGACGCCTCCGGCACGCAGGGGGGAGGCATCTGTCATCCTGGGGTGTTTGTTTGTTTTCAGGCTAAATCCCCAGGGGCAAGTGGGGATGGGTGGGTGGCCTGAGGCCCGGTCAGTGCAGAATAAAGGGACACAGCAGTAGGGATGCTCAGACATCCTAAGGGAAGGGCAGCGGCGAGAACATGGGAGCGGGCTCTGACCACGGCACTCTGCTCTCTGTCCCAGAGATGGGAAGCCCTCTGCCCGCATGGTGCTGCTGAAGGGCTATGGCAAGGATGGCTTCCGCTTCTTCACTAACTTCGAGAGCCGGAAGGGAAAAGAGCTGGTGAGGGGTCACAGTAAATCCTCCTCGGGCTGCAGAGGGTACAGCCCCTTCCTCATCAGTCACCCCCCCCTCAACCCGCTCACTGTCTGTGCTCAAGGCCCACCCTGCCTGGGGCCTTCGCCCTGGCCCTTCTTGCTGCACATGCGCAAATACTCTCCAACCACCCCTGCCTCCGTCCTCTGTCTACCTAAGCCACCCCCGTCCCTTCAGGCTCAGCCCCAATGGCAGCCTCTTCAAAAAAGCCTCAACTCCTACACTGAGTCAGCCGCTCATGCCGTTTGCTGTCATTTATAACTAATAGCAACTTCCCTGCCATTTTTTCAGTTTCTAACTGTGCATGCATATGATTCTGTGGTTAATGTCTGTGTCCTCTGTTAAGTGGTAAGCTTTGTGGGGGCAGCGGCTGCATCTGTTGTAACTCTGTCACACCCCATGACCTCTTCTGGTGTCGAATCCAGAGCTGGCACTTCATATGCATACAGTTCGTAATTCCAAATGAAGTTGGTCCGAAGGTTGTGGGTTATTGTTAAGCTGATTAACATAATTCCAAATGAGTCATCCGCCCCGAGTCCCTGTAGCCAAGCATACATTTCTGAGAACTTGCAAAATCTGTGGGTTTGAGAAATGGCAAGAGGCAGTTCAGAGTCCAGCTGGCGTAGGTTTCCACGCAGCTCTCCCACTTGCTGTGTGAGCTCGGGCTCCTTACTTAACCTCTCTGAGCCTGTCTTTGAGGGTTTAAATGAGACATTACACCGAGTGCACCTCCCGGGGACCTGCACGCTGCAGAGGCGTCCTCCCCGCTGTCCTGACGGCGGTCTGGGTTCTCTTTCCTCTCCAGGACTCTAATCCCTTTGCCTCCCTCGTCTTCTACTGGGAGCCCCTGAACCGCCAGGTGAGTGAGCGTGCCCAGGACAGCCTGGGGCGGGCACGTTGGGAGTTTATATATGAGCCCAGTGGAGGTCCCCTCTCAGATAGCTCTCAGACAGCTAGCGGGCTGGCGGGAGCCAGGAGTGGCAAGGCATCGGATAAAGAAGACCGAGGGGAATGGGCCTGTGGCCTGGGGGGGGGGGGGGCGATGGCGTTGAACCCAGGTAGCCAAGGCCGTCCCTGAGCAGGTGCGTGTGGAGGGCCCCGTGAAGAAGCTGCCGGAGGAGGAGGCGGCCAGCTACTTCCACTCCCGCCCCAAGAGCAGCCAGATCGGGGCCGTGGTCAGTCAGCAGAGCTCCGTCATCCCTGATCGGGAGGTGAGTGGGCTTCCTCTTCGTCCTCCGGGGGGCGGTGCTGGGCTCACCCGGGGCCGTCCCCCAGGGATGAGGGCCCTCTCCCCGCCAGTGAAAAGGCTGTCTTCCTGGGCCTCCTGTGTGTGTGGGACCCTCCCGCTGGGCTGTGTTCCCAGGGGACAGAGGCACCTGTGCCTTCTCGCCTGTGTCCCCAGCACATGCTCAGTGAGTGGCTATTCAATGAATCCTTGACCCGGTCTGGCCCTTCTGTCTCCTCCCCCTGAACAGTATCTGAGAAAGAAAAACGAGGAATTGGAGAAGCTGTACCAGGAGCAAGAGGTGCCGAAGCCAAAATACTGGTGAGAGATGCCTCCTGGTCGTGTAGAGAGGGACACTGGACCCTCGTGTTTACTGGAGGCTCCCCTACCCGTGGAGTTACAGACCCACCCTCCCTGCCACCCTCCTGAGACACAGCAGCTTCCTGCGGGGGGCCCGGGGGTGTCTGGGAGTGACATGGCTGGGAACATACACAGCCCGAAACCTCTGCTTCCCTTCGCAGGGGTGGCTACGTCCTGCACCCACAAGTGATGGAATTCTGGCAAGGCCAGACCAACCGCCTGCACGACCGCATCGTCTTCCGGCGGAGCCTGCAGACGGGGGACACCCCTTTGGGGCCCATGACCCACCAAGGGGCGGAAGGCTGGCTCTACGAGAGGCTGGCTCCCTGACCCCCGGCTGGGTGCCCCGGGAGCGAGGGCCAGGCGCTGAGGGGGGCTGTGGGGTTGGGATCAGGCCCTTCTAAGGGCCACCGTTTCCCGCCCCGCTCCCTATATGTCGGGGTCTCCAGAGGTCACCTTCCGAGTGCTCCACTTGGCTGGCTCTCAGAAGCTGTCCAGCGGAGTGTCATGGCGGCACAGAGAATCACACACGGACAATCATCTCGTCGTCATTTTCTCGGCTTTGACACTGGTTTACTGGAATGGCTCCCTCTGGAGGAAGCAGCTGCTGGAATTCCCTTTCCCGGTGACACAGAGCGGCCCCAGCAGCCCTGTGTTTTGACCACTGTGACAGTCCTACTGGCCAAAGCTGATCGGTCCCAGCATAGGCACCTGAGCCAGTCCCGATAGTCGGTTTTTCTTGTCAGCTCCTGGAAACTGGCACAGAGAGACCAGAGCATGCTCCCCGAGGCCACACTGTGAGCGGCAGCCAAGAAGCCAGGCCTCTGGCGGCTGCTCTTAAATTCCCCGAGCGGCCTGGCGCCCCTTCCCACGCCTGGGCCGTGCAGTTCCTCCTCCGGCCTCACACCCACTGTCTCTAAAAAGGGTTTGTTTTTTTTAATGTAAACTTGCTGTTTGCTGTTGATTGCAAATAAAAGAACTCTAACCAACTCATTTATTAACATATTCTTATAGCATTTACCCTGCTGATAGCTGCCTTCCGTTATCGAAGCACAGCAATGTGGGAGAAGATTGAATTTATTCTCTGTAGCTCCAAAGGACCCACGGGGGATGTTACACAGAAATAGATTTCTCTTCAGTATGGGGAGCGGTTTCAAGGGGAAGGTGGTAGGGAGCACCAGGCAATGAGCATTCTCTTACGGGAAGTATTCAGTCCCAGCCAGGAGTTTTGTAGAAAGGATTCGTGTGCTGGTACCTATGGGCCAGGAAGATTTTAATCAAGCTTTATTTTCCATGTTGGCTTATAAACAGTATTATTTATTTTACTTCCCAGGTATAAAATTATTATAGAGATAATCACACATCCTTTTCCCAGCTCCTCACCTCTCCACATCACTGCTTTTCATCCACATTGGAATTCCCGGGGGCAGGGGGAGGGGTTGGAGATCCTGATGATGCCTAGGTCCCCCCCTCAGAGATAACGGGTCTGAGGGCACCGGGAAATTTAAAGGCTCCCAGGGGACTTCGTGGAGCCAAGGTTTGAGCCCCTCAGGACGGCTGGCAGCATTGGCATCGCTTGGGAGCCCACCCCAAACCCCCGAAATTCCCTCCTGCGTTTAACAGGACCCCACTCACCCTGTGACAGTGCCCTGGCCCCGGCCTCTGACCCTCTGCCTGTCACCCTCACCATGGATTCTCCCGTAACCCTCGCTCAGGCCTGGGCTGACTGTATGTGCTTTCCTCGAGCACATGTCTGGTGACCAGGGTCAGCCTGGCTGAGTGGCCCTCAGGCCTGGAGAGGAGCCAGGCTGGGTAAATGTTTGCTCTGACTCAGCCAGGATGAGGGGAGGGACTGTTTTGTGCTCAGTGGCATTGAACCTGCCACCCTGTACACGGCTTCACTCGCTGTATGGGCATGTGCTTCAGCGTCTGGGAGCGACCGGCTCCCCCGAGGACCTCTCTCTCGTTGTTGATCCCCCCTCAAGCCCGAGCGCAGGAAAGCACGATGCTGACCTTTCTGGAACCTACAGGAGAGGGTGCTGGGGACCCTTCCTTGTCCTGTTTGTGTTTCTGGATCTGTCTCTCCTGCTTTGAGCCTGGTCTCAGCAGTTCTGTTCTGTGTCCAGCAATCACTGTGCCAGGTCTGTAATAAAAACTCATCAGATGCTCATCAGTGCGTGATGCTAATGTCGGTCTGGCCTGGTCTTGCCCCCCACCCTGGGGAGAAGGGGAGTTGGGGGATTAAACAACTCTCCACCCACCTCCATTTTCCTCTCGCGGGAGGTGGGGCACCCAGCAGGGGGCGCCTGCTGCCCAAGGCTGGCCCCTTCTCGGCCGCACAGGCCAATCCTAGCCTGCCCGCCTGCCTCCCCCTCCCCCCTTGGGTTGAGTCCCAGTGAAACTGTGGTCGATAACCCGTAGCCTCTCCCGGCTCCTGCACATATTTGCACTTTCGGTTCCTCCTCCTCTGGCCTGGTAAAACCTTCAGCTGCCTGGGCTCTGGCTCCCTGGGCACCAGATATCCCTTTGGCCGTTGGTAACCACCCACCTCCTCACCCCCGTCCACTAATACCCAGGTTAGGGGTCCGGATGGAGTTTCCGGGAAGATTCCTGCAGTCACGTTTGGGCCCGTGGAGCATGGTCATATGCACGGGGCCCAGGGCCCAGCTTCATCCCCCTACCCTCGCCTCAGGACGGGCTGGAGGGGAGGTCCCTACAGTCTGGGGTCTCAGGGTACACTCAGCCTCATCGCTGATTGGCTTTCCCCCCCGTTGGCCCCAGAGTCTGCAGCACCCTCAAATGCTGCTCACCTCCCAGGATCCCGCGGTGAGGCCTTGCTCTGTCTCACCCCACCTTCCTGCAGCTGAAGGGGGCCGGTTCCTTTCTTTGTCCCGAGCTACCCACCCCCAAAGCAGATGCAAATCAAGAAGGGAAGGGGCTGTGTGTTTCCGAGGTCACATGCTCAGCCCGGCTCTGGCTTCAGTCCAGCCCCACCTCTGAGAGGGCATGATCTCCAGTGAGTGACTAAGCTCAGCACCTCACCTGGAAAAGGGGTAGTTAGCAGCAGGCCCTGTCTCCATGGGGGACGAAAGGATTCAATGAGGAACCTCGGGGGGTACTTGCCACAGGGCCTGTCCCATTCTAATCCTCATCCAAGGACGTTTCTTTGTTTTTTTGATCCTCACCCAAGGATTTTTTCCATTGATTTTTAGACAGGGTAGAAGGGAGGGCAGAGAGGAGAGAGAGAGAGAAACATCTATGGACGAGACATATCCATCGGGCGCCTCCCATATGCGCCCTGACAAGGGCCGGGGATCAGACCCACAACTGGGCTACATGCCCTTGATTAGGAATCAAACTCGAAACCTTTTTGATGTACAGGACAACAGGCCAATCAACTTAGCCACCCAGCCAGCGTGGGCGTGGCCCATTTTAAACCTGTAAACGTAAGGCATTAACAATGGGAAGGATGGCAAAAAGTCTGCTCCCCCGTGGGAGGCTTTATGGACCGAGTTATTGGGGCCTTAGAAAGTTCTGCCATGAGGAGGGATGGGGAAGAGTCCTCCAGTCCTCCTCATCCTCCTGATCTCCCTCACTCATCCTCAGCTCCCCATGCCCTGAGGAGGCCGCACAACAAAGGCCCCCTTGTCCGGTCTGTTTGTTTTGGTGATACATTTCCTGAGGCGGGGTGGGGTGGGGTGCCCACAGCCTGCAAGGAGCTGGCCTGGAAGCTGCTGGACCACATTGTTGAGTCGCCACCTTGGTCTCTCTCTCTCCATGTTCCCACCGCGAGCTCTGGAGATATGGCCAATTTTTTCCAGTCCCCAGCTCCTGCGGCTTGAGAAAGATCCCGATCTAACAGCCTCAAGAGCACGCTCTCTCCTCTTCCTTAAACGGAAGCTGTGGGCCATGGCGAGTTCCTTAATAAGGGAAAAGGCCGGGACGGAACCAGTTAATGGAGAACCTACTACAGGGCTACTAGCGGGCCACTGGTTACCGACCACTCCCTGTGAAATAGGTATCCTTACAGGCCTTGGATAGAAAAGAAACCAGGATCAGAGGAGGTGGGTTTTAAAAAAAATTTTTTTATTGATTGATTTTTAGAGAGAAACATTGATTTGTTGTTCCACTTACGTATGCATTCACTCTACGTGCCCTGACTGGGATGGAACCAGCAGCGTATTGGGACGATGCTCTAATCAACTGAGCTACCCATCAGGGTTCAGAGGAAGTTGTTTTTGTGTGTGTGGTTTTTTTTAATGTCCCCCACACCACACAGCTGCTAAGGGGTGGGACCCGAATTTGAGTCTTGACCCCAAACCAAACCACTGCAACTTTGGGTCAATCCTCAGGGGTCTGCCTTCTTCTCTTGAAGCCCCCGCTGGCCTCTGTGGACCAGAGGGACTGACCACGGGGGGTGCCACAAGCTCCTTCCTGTGTCCTCTACCCCCCCCCCCCCCCCCAGTGCTAAGGGTGGCTTGAGGGTGAAACTGGTGTCCCAGTCCCTACATCTGACACCTGGGACCGTGTGGAAAGCGTGAGAGGAACCATTTGAGCACCGGGTTCCACTCACGTGAAGGGAACAAAGGCCTACAGCACAGTCCTCTCAGCGAAGACGAGTGGATAGATTCTCAGCTTTTGCAGCATTGTTTATTACAAAGAGAGAAACCTATAGTTATTAAACAAAATTCAAGGCTCCAGGATTCATCTCTGGGCCAATCCATCTTAAATACCGGTGGGGAAGAGCCGGCTGCTGTTAGGTCCTACCAGAGCTTTCCCCCTCCCCCCTGCCCCTAACTAGGACCTGGGGGTCCCTAACCGGGCCTTCTGCAGCACCTCCAGGGAGTGCCAGGGTCCTCCTCCTCCTGCACATCTGGGGGCAAGGCCCCCGGAAGTTTCCCACTTGTGTTAGGAGGTGAGCTCCAGTTCAGCCGCCTCTGGCTCCTGGAAATGACCCCCCGTCACGTGTCGTCTGGAAAATGCACCCTCAGGACTGGTGCAGGGGACTGTCCCGGGTAGAGACCGTTAGAGGGAGCAGCAAGTCAAACTCACCCTTGACCCCGTGCCCTGGGTGGCACTTGTCACCCTTGAACCCGAGTGCCTTTCTATGTGGTGGGGGGCGGTGGGAGGACCCCGGGATCTCCCAGACGCCCCGGAAAGCCAGGGCACATAAATACGAACGAGACATTTCCTGCCAGCAGGCATCAGCCGCCTCCAGGGCTGCAGCTGTGGCCGAGAGGCCAGCGTGGCCAGCTCCCTGCTCAGATCCAGCTGACAGCAGGGAGCAGGCAGGGAGATGCTAGCACCCTCCTCGGCCCCCTTCACTGTCCCTCGCCCTCCCTGTCGTCAAAGAGGTTGGGGTTCTCCGCCAGGCTGGCTCGCACTTTCTTCTTCTCCTTGAAGCGGCCGGAATTGGAGACCTTGACGTGCTTGCCCTTCGTGTTCTTGTCCACGATCTTCTCCAGGCGGCTGTTAAAGTCACTGCCGGCCGCCCCGCCCGCCGGCCCCGGGGGCTCCGCGCTGCCCTCCGTCTGGGCATAGGTGTCCGGGATCTCGTACAGCACCTTGGGGGCCGACTTCTGCTTCCGGAGGAAGGTCAGCTTCCACCAGCCCACTTCCGTCATGGTGCTCCCGGGCGGATCGGGCTTCTGCGGGAGAGGGGGGGGGGGGCGCGGAGGGGTCAGAGGGGAGAAGGGGGGTGGTGCCCGGAACAGCCCCCTCTGGACTCCTGACCACATTTTATTTATTTTTGTTATTGTTCATCCTCATCCAAGGATCTTTTCCTGTTGATATTTAGAAAGAGTGGAACGGAGGGGAGGAGAGAGAAACATCAATTAGTCACCTCCCTCACATGCCCCGACCAGGAATGAGTCTGCAATCAGTGTATGTGCCCTTGCTGAAACCGGTTTGGCTCAGTGGATAGAGCATCATCCTGCGGACTCAAGGGTCCCAGGTTCAATCCCAGTCAAGGGCACGTACCTTGGCTGTGAGCACATCCCCTGTGCGGGGGGTGTGCAGGAGGCATCTGATGGATATGTCTAACGATCTCTCTCCATTCCTCTCTGTAAAAAAATCAAAAATATTTTTTAAAAATGTATGTGCCCTTGACCAAAATAGAACCCAGGACCCTTTAGTCCGTGGGCTGATGCTCTATCCACTTCAAGCCACTGAGCTAAACCCGTTAGGCCTATTATTATTTGTAATCCTCACCTGAGGACATACTGAGAGAGAGAGAGAGAGAGAGAGAGAGAGAGAGAGAGAGAGAGAGAGAGAAACTTTGATCAGTTGCCTTTCGTATGTGTCTCAACCAGGGATGGAACACGAAGCCCAAGTCTTCGTCCTGACCTCCTGACCTCCTGACCGGGAACTGAATGGGCAATGCTCAACCCCCACAGCCACTCAGCCAGGCTATTCCAGTGGCCCGGGCCCAAAGGCTGAGAGGTGCGGCCACATGACCCTCAGATTCATGTCGGTGATGCAATGCATGTGGAGAGCAGAGAGAGGGTCTGGGGAAGAGGCAAACAGAAAGCCCTCTGAGCCCAGTGGAGGTGACAGCAGGGAGACGCACGCCATCGCCAGGCAGCAGCGAGCTGCCTGGTCCCTTGGGGCTGCGGGAAGGTGAACAGCTCACCCAAGTCACGCACCATCCAGACCTTGGACACCCTTCGGGCAGAGGGTCAACTGGTATCAGACAGACAGAAACACCCCGGGCATCTTGCTCAGAATTCATTCATTAATAAATCCATTCATTCACATTTAAATAGGTCGTGTGATGTTGGGAGTAATTTGGACTTTCCGCTGGTGAGGAGCAGGGAGAGGAGCCTCCGGCTGGGAGTGGGGAGTCCTGGGACTGTTCCAGGTGTGTGACCCTGGCAGGCTACTTCTCTGGACCTCGGTGCCTCATCCGTCCCTCCCAGACCTCATATTCAGCTCCGATGTTGCCCGCCCACAGAGACACACGCTTTGCAAAATGCTGCTTTCGATAACGGTGATAAGGATTGAGGGACGGCCCCTTTCCCGACCCAGCTTCCACAAGGACAGGAGTTGAAGGGGAGCTGAGAACCTGGAAGGAGGTTTGGCAGGGCCAACAGGTCCATGTGACATACGTTATCACGGGTTGGACTCTCCATAGGAAAACCCAGGAGATGGGCTGTGGGGGCTCAAGTTCAGGCTCCTCCACTGACGAGCAATGTGCCTGGGAGGAGCCCTCACCATTTACCATTCGCCACAGAGGTCATCAGAGCAGGGGGAGATTTTGGGAGGTAAAGTCGCCCGGACATCACTGACAGGTGGGCATGCCGACCAGGGGGGGGTGAGAGCAGAGAAAGAGCAGGCAGAGGGGGAGCTGTCAGGGCCTCTCTGTTTCGGGAGAGGCTGGTGGTCCGGCCTCGGGACTCGGAGTGTGGCAGGGAAAGGTCCTGGGAGGAAGGGCAGCAGCCACCACCTCCCAGAAAGCTGGACGGTCAGCCAGCCCGGGCACAGGCCTGTGTGTCACCTCTTTCTAAAAACGGTTGGTCTTGCCTGGCCGGCGTGGCTCAGTGGTTACACTTCAACCTATGAGCCAGGAGGTCACGGTTCAATTCGATTCCCAGTCAGGGCATATGCCCGCGTTTCAGGCTTGATCCCCAGTGTGGGGTGCGAAGGAGGCAGCCAATCAATGACTCTCTCTCTCTCTCTCTCTCTCTCTCTCTCTCTCTCTCTCTCTTTCTCCTTTCCTTCCTTCCTCCCTCTCTCCCTCATTTCATCTCTGAAATCAATAGAAATATATTTAAAAAAATAAAAACTGATGGTCTTAACTACCTTTTCTAAAAAGACCAGAAAGAGATACGACAAATGACTAGTAGTGGTTTCCTTTGTGTAGAAGGACTGTGGGATGCTCTCTCCCCTCCACTTTTCTCATTTCCAATCTGCCGCAGTGAGTACGGAGTCTGTTCTGTCGGAGGAGGAACACATCACATCCAGAAAAAAACGAAGGCAGGATGCTGGCCTGGGCGGGGAGTGGGTTGAATGCCTCCCTCCATCGGCCCCCTCGCTGCTGACCCCTGTCCCCACCCCCATGCCCACCCCCTGCCCAGAGCACGCCCCCAATTCCTCCCACGGCTTTGCCCAGAATGCAGACCCCACGTTGCCAGACCTGTCCCTCTAGTCGGCTCCTGTAGCAAGAGACCCCGGGTGGACCTTGTCCGCTCCCACTCAGGAGATGAGGGAGGGGCGAGAGTGGCCAGATAAGCCCTTTCCGGGCACCCTGGAGAGGCGAGGGCACCCAGGGGACGGCGGAGGTTTGCTTTGGCAGAGTGCCCCACCTGGGCCTAGCACAGCCTTGCACAGATCTCAGAGTTCCGGGATGGTGTGTGGAAGGCGCTGCGAGAAGGGCAGGAAGGAGGGACAGGACGCTTGCTCCCTCGTTCGGCCTGTGGGTGCCCAGTCGCCGCCTGGTCTGGGGCAAGTCCCATGGCCCCACCGGGGCTGCCAAGGAGCTCGGGCCATGGAGGGTCCGACTCCCGAACCCACAGTCATAACTGGACCGCCGGGCCTGGAGGAAGTGGCTTTTTTACGTGCCAGTTAAATAAAACACACCTGCTGTAACGGGTGTTCAGTCCACAGGGAGGGACCCACCCCAGGGACCTGCTCAGAAAACCAGAGTCGGGAATGGCCCTTGGACCCTGCCCTGCAGCCTCCACCGCGGCACCTCGGGGCCCGGCCTCCTGGCTCACACTCCGGGCTCTCTGGGAGACTGTGTGCCGGGCCGTGCTGCCCCCTGCTTAGGGCACCCGGGCACAAGTGAGCAGGTGTTTGCCCCTGGAAGCAAGCCTGGCCTCTGGAAGCCTGAATTTGCAGAACAGCTAACTTGGGTCTTTGCTTTTGCAGAACAACCCAGCTAGCCAGAAGATTCTGGTAAGCAGGGAGCTACCCCAAGAGAGGGTCAAATCTGACTTGCTTAGAAAAGAAAAAGAGAAGGTGTTATCCCCATGTCCCAGCTACCCAAAGCAGCCAAGAGCGAGATACCTACAGCCACACGCCCAGGCCTAACCACAGAGGGTCGCAGGGGGCTCGGGCAGGGAACGAACTGGGATTGTGAATTTGGCCTGCAGCCTGTTCCTGGCCACGCAAGCGGAGGGCTGGCCCTTGCCCTGGGGCCCTGCAATCCAGGAGGCGATAGAAATCTGCCCCTGAGGAGGCCGCTACACCCTATGCTGTGTGCACAGCTCGCTGTGTGCACAGCTCGGGAGCACGGCCTCAAGGGGACCTCCCAGGACAGCCCACCATCCCCCCACCGCCCCGGGCCTGTGACAGCCACCACTGCACCCAGCACACAGGGACCCGGACAGGTCCCACTGCCCCAGCCGAGGCAGAGCCCCTTCGCAGCTGAGCCCAGTTAACCATTGACGGGCCAAGGAGGAGGGGTGCAGGGGGCAGGAGGGAGCACCTCGGCTTCTGCATTGTCAGTCAAAACCCAGAGCCCCAGCCCTCCGCTTTCTGGGGGGCCCCGTGGGACTCTCGCTCGGGATGAGTCTGGGGTGCCCTAGACAGGAGAAGCAGGCGGTTCCCGCCAGAAATACCCTCCGGGCGGGGGCAGGTGCGGTGGGCTCCAGCTCCAGCCCCACAGGAGTTAACAGGGAGCTGCTCCAGAGAGACTCTCGCTCCCACCAGGCGTTCAGGCTGGAGGCCTGGCCGGACTCCAGGAAGCCAGGGGGCGGACGAGGTGGGAGCCGCATGCCAGGGTCTCCCCCGCAGCCGGACTTGTCAGCCCCGGAGGCAGACGGGGCCCAGACTACCCCGTGGTGCCCGCCGCCCACCCTGGCCGGTACCTGCAATCCCGGCTGCGGCAGGCGGAGCCGAGCCCCTCCCTAGAGAAGGGGCCTCGTGCAGGCGCTGCCCGGAGGGGAGCCGGGGGAGCCGGGGAGCCAGGGTGCTGTGCCCGGCGCGGCTGGCGCGGGAGCCGGTGGGAGCAGCTGGGCGGCAGGTGCCAGAGAAACAGGTGCAGGAGCGGGGTACCTGCTCCCGGCGCCTCCAGGAGTCAAGGTGAACCTGAAACCCAGCCCCTCCCGGCTAAGTAAACAGAAGCAGAGGCCTGCTCGGCCTGATGAATATTCATGACCCCGGAAACCCAATCCCCGGGCCCCAGCACCCACCCAGGGTCCTCCCGGGACCGCCTGCCCGCTGCCACCCGGAGGAGGAAACCCGGGAGCCAGGGCGGGGGGCCGAGGGCGGCTCCCTCCTCAGTCTCCCCACGCGCCAGCCTGCAGCCAGTGCCACCCCCTGCCCGTTCCCGCCCCGGGAGCCTCAGACCCCTTTCCGGCCACAACAAAGCCCGGACCTTGCCCCGGGCACAACCGGGAAAGGGTTAAGGCCGCGGTTCCGCGGGCTGAGAAGGACAGGGTGCACCCAGCTCCTTTGAACTCCGGCGTCGAAACCAGTCCCTGGTCAGACTGGTTGGCAGACCGGTTCCCAGGCTGTCCGCTCCGCCCCCAGTTCAGGGCCGGGCGGGCCGGGCGGGCGGCCTGGGTGGGCGGCTGTGCTCCTGTGCCCGGAGGGGCCTGCGGCTCCTGGGCCTCCTCAGCCCTCCCAGCGCCGGGGGGCAGGGGCCCTGTGCCCCCAGACTCACTGCAGCCTCCTCAGAGGG